GTTTTTTATCAATAAGTATCTATTTAAATTTTAAAAATTATTTTTAAATTAATGACAGTTCATTTAAGATTTATTCATCAATAAATATCTATTTAAATTTTAATAATAATTAATTTTTAATTAATATAAATTTTTATCAGTGATTTTTTATTACTATTTTTTCTTTAAACTTCTTGTGTGTACGTGTGGGGGGAGAGAGAGAGAGAGTTATTAATGTAGAGCAGTTTGGTGGGACTTAGGTGGCTTCTTAGTTGGACTTAATAGACTCTTGGTGTAACCTAAAGAGCTAAACTTAAATTTAAAAAAATTAGAAGGAAAGAAGAGAAGAGTGAGTCATTTTCAAATTTGTACGACAAACATTCTTTGTTTTGTCCTTTTCGAAATTGCAGGAATCGACCACACGAGACACTTTACCTAACCAACCGACCAATATTGATTTTCCATGCACATTCCCCTCTCTCTCCTTTGGAATAATTGCTCGTGTCCTAATTAATTACCATTTCCTTTTTCTCAATTTATTACACTTATACATTTACTATAATATAATCTCATTCCCTAATCTGATCGTGCCTCAATTATTTATTTGCATGTGGCTTTTGTGGTCCTATTTGTGTGACGCTCGCCAACTTGGAGAAATTATGATGCATCGATTTTCTTATTCCATGTGTGAATCTGACAATGGTTTTAAGTGTATGATGCATATAATTAGTATATTTCTATTCTCAGATTGGTATAATTAACTCCAATGACTTTTATCAACAGTTTAGTGTTTAAAATAGTAATAATAATATATAGCATTAATTTGGACAGTTTGACCTATTAATTCTCCTAGGTCCAAATTTAGCGCTTTTATAATTCTGAGCCACTTAATTAATTATTAATTAGTCATTTCATGCAATCATTTTTTTTTTATTATTTTATGTGAAGCACCTATAAATTTCCTTTAAACCTCAATTAATCCTGATTGGACTCCTGACTATAAATATGAGAAAAAAATTTCTTAACAAGTATTTAATATAATTATATTATATATTTAAAATTCAAACTCAAAATTTCTAATTATACTTGTTATTAGTTGAGCTACATGTTTATTGACAGTGTATCTAATTGTTTTTTCTTTTTGGAAAACTAGAAAAATGAAATCATGCAATTTAATTTAAACAGCATAATATATGAACATGTACTCTCTCCATTAAAATATATGAGATATTTTTTAAGGAGTTGGATGTTAAAAAATGTAAGAAATTTTTAGTTTTTTGAGGTGTAATCATTGTCTTTTTTTAAAAGTGCTCCTATTGATGATGACTTTATATTTATTGTAAGGTATTCAATAAGAATAAATATAAAAAAATAAAATTAATTTAAAAATAAATAATTATTTTATTAAAGGATGAGATTTGATTGATAATGTTTTATATTTTTAAATGGATGGAACATATCTTTCACGTCAAATCAATGTTTTGAAACCCGGACCAGACATCGAACCAAAAAGAGCAACGGGTCGTGGTTTTTATAGTCTAATTGGTTAAACCGGCGGTCGAACCGGTGACATAAAAATTAAATAAAAAATAAAATTTATATGTGCAATTATATAAATAAAACATTAATTTGTCAATGGTGCTTCAGATCTCGATCCCAAAAGCTAGATGCTTGGATCGTTGGAGTTAGAGGTAGAGACGTGTCAGTACAAGCTTGTGATTTCAAAGGAAAATGTTGGAGTTGAAGGCATGCCATCATGTCATGACTCACAAGTTTTTGATCTCGATGTTAAAGATTGGATTTTTAGAGCTGGAGGAGGATGTTGGAGGAGAAGTTAGGGATTGAGTTTAGGCCATAAAGGAGAGATTAGAGATTAGATAAGAGAAGAAAAGAGAAAATTAACGATTAGAGAAGAGAAATTGTGAATCTAAACAACTCAGTCTAAATTTCTTTTTTTTTAATTTTTTTGGCTTTGAACCGGGTTGATTCGAGTCCGGTTTTCGGGTCAAAGCAGGTTCTCTCAAAATTGGCCAGTTCAACCCGAGTCAAATGTCAAATTAATTCAATTGATTGAACTTGACCATTTTATTCAGTGAGTGACGGTCGAATTATTTGGTCTGATCCAATCCGATTTTAATAATATTGCTTCAAATGTACACTTCCATGTATATATTCCTTTCAGGCTGTCACATTACGAAGAAGAAGATCAAAAATATTATATTTGTGTTTATAATTAATATACATACATACATACATACATATATATATATATATATATATATTATATACATGAATGAACATTCTTTGACCTGGCAGGCACATCTCTGCAGTGACGGCTGCGACATTCAATGAACATGCATGATCTGTTCGTCTTTGACGCCAACAACCCTATTCTCTCATTAATTTCAAATATTTCCCATTTCTTTTATTAATTAATCTTAACACCTGCTATATTCCACTACTATTCAACATTCCTCATTTTATTCCGCCCGTATAATATTATATATAAAATCTAAAACATTAATTATAGTCATAGTATATACTTTTTTTTAAATATAATCATCCATAAATACAGCCGCGTCAAAACTCAAAGGCACTATGAGTGTGAACTTTATAATTCACTTTTCGAGCCAAGTAATCTTTGATCTTTCTCGTATGAACAAAATTTTGGACATTATGAATAAAAGCGCATTAATTAATATTTTTGTAACATAAATAATAGCTGCATGTTTGCGTCTGTATTGATTTTGGGACTTGTTAAGTCAAATTCAACAAGCTCCGCTACACACACACTTCAACCTTAATATATTAAGGTGACCATCTTAATTAAAAACAATGGAAGAAACAAAGAAATCTACAGAACAAGTTTAAGGAAAATTCTCTTGTTTTGAAAGGATAAAGTTCAATTAATTCAAACTATTTGACTGTAAGCTTGTTGTGATGTGTCTTGGTGGCCTTCAAAATCGGTGAAATATTGCTTTCATTTAAATGGCGATGATTCAAACTTAATTAATTCAAGACTTTCAAAATCCAGAGCCTTAATTATTCGCAATTTTACAGTCACCAAAAACAAATTGTACTACTAGAGCAACCACAGCCCATTTTTTCTGTGATTTTTTTTAATAAAAAGAATCGTATATATATATGATTGATTTATGTCGGATGCTCAATATATTAAATGGAACATGACAGTTTTGAGGGAAAAAATAATTTACTATTCGCGTCGTCGTATGTTTGTATTCATACATAGTGCGATGTTGAAATTGTTGCATGTCTCGTATGACTTTAATATCTGGAGGACATTTTATTATATGAATTTTATAATAGATAACAATAAAAATTTAATTATAAACATATGCAGTCAGATAGAATTTGACATGATATATATAGCTAATTTTATCGCGTATTGTTTGTTTTAAGTTAATATTTCTACACGTATAGCCTTTTTTGACAAAAGAATACTAATTTAATATAGAAGTCTTATGAAGTCTCTTTTAACTTGTAGAATATAATTGAAATACATGAAAGACAACTTTAATTTACTTAGATTTAAAACAATTTCTATACATGCATTACATAAATCCCGGAGAAAATGTTTCCATTATTTTATAATTTGTAAATATAATATGATTGATTATAAATTTTATATATGCAACTACGTTAAGAAATTTTCCAGCCTTGATATGTGATTCTTTCCTAGTTCAACCTGGATTGGTTAGAATCCAATAGATGGTTTTGTACCAAAAAAGAAAGAAATGAAGAAACTTAATTACAAATCTCACATGGTTCATTTTTTAGATAAAAAGTCTATTTAAAAGCAACTTATAATTCTTGAAATATTTATTTTCTTCAGATTAACATTAATTAATTATTGAGCCCAAAATATATTGACCCTTTATACTTTTATATGGATTGTAATAAATGAACGACATAAGTGAGTTTATTTAAGTAGATGTTCAACCTACAATCTTTTAGCTTTCATTATTTTCCATATCCTTTAGGTGATCGGGTCAGGAATTTGAGATAATTAAAATTAAATAATTAATCACATATTTACAAGTGCATATAACTATAGCTTCATACAAATTCAATATCTTACCGTCTCTATGCTCTCTCATATTTTTTTATATTGTGAAGGCTAAAAGGATCTAGCAGGTTGTTAATCTACTCAATCTCAAAGTAATATAATCAAGAACTTAACTTGCCTTATATTTTTAATTAATGAATTCATAGGTACGCTCATTAAATTTAACACTGATTGTTTTATTTAATTATTGGGATACTTTCAACAATAAATTCAATGAAATTAGCGGAAACAATACTCCTGGCAGAACAAGAACGATCACAAAGTCCATCTTAATACAGCTTTATGATCATTCAGTGAACTTTCTCTGGTCTGAGTCACTCTAATGATCTGCATAATATATATATATATATGTAATGCCCTTCAATATGAAAACCCTCAAATAATGTGAGAGACTTACACGTGCATGCAACACACAAAGATACATCTACCCAACTTGCAACATGTAATCACATGACCTTGGCCCATGTGTGTGCATATATATATATATATATATCACTATCTCTCTATATGTGTGTTGTGGATCCCACAAGAAACCATGTGTTGCCAACTGTTTTTACGCCACACTAAGAATCTTAGGCCCCAAGTCTATTACCTCCATTCTCTTTTCTCTCTGTCTGCCCTATCAATCTCTTCTTAATGCTTCTCCTTTTTTTTTTTTTTTTTTTTTCTAGTTATTTTTTTATTTTTTTTTTCTATGTTGAGTTACCAACTTTGTATTGGAAGCCAAGTCTTGTTGAATTATTGTAGCTACCTTACTATCATGCATATCTATATCTACGTTCCTTTAACAACCCAAACACATCACAGCACACTATCAACGGCCTACATGCTTCCACGTGTCATCCACCGCCACCTTCACCTTAGGGGTTAAGTTTCTCTCTCTCCTTCTCTCTCCTCCCCACTTCCTATAATACACTCATCTCGGACTCTAAAATTGAACTTCTAGGTTTTGTTACCAGATTTGAACTCCTCTCTCATTCATCTTGTTATCACTATTTCCTCCTCTTTTACAGATAGATAAGGTTGCTCTTAAGGTTTTATTATTATCATTATTATTCAAAGATATTCAATATATTGACCGATTATATTAGAGGTTCATCGTAAAAAGACATGCTCATCACTTCTCCTTCTTCCTCCTCCTCCTCCTCCTGCCAGCTTCTTCTTCTTCCATTGAGCCATTTGTTCAGAGCTCCTGTTTTCTTTTTCCTTGACTCAAGCAATCTCATGCTCTTGTCCTCCTTTAGATTGATTTCTCTTGTAGCTCCTCGATCCAAAGGCTAACTTTATATCTATATATATATATATACATCCTTCTTGTTTTTAGCTTCTTTGATCTCAATTGAATTGAAGATATGGGTTTGAGTTCTAAGCAGGTAATTTCTAGAAGTGGGATTGACTGGAACCAGACGTTGCTGCAAGATCAGAAGTTGGAGCTTCCAAAGCCTCCATTGATGAGGAAACTGCAACAGCAGCAGCAGCAGATGCAACAACAACAACAGAGACAACAATCTCAGCAATCATCGGAGCCATTGAAGTGTCCGAGGTGTGATTCGACGAACACCAAGTTCTGTTACTACAACAACTACAACAAGTCTCAGCCTCGCCATTTCTGCAGAACCTGCAAGAGGCACTGGACTAAAGGTGGCACCTTGCGCAATGTCCCCGTCGGTGGCGGCAGGAAAAACAAACGGCTCAAGAAATCATCCAACCCCATCTCTTCCTCCGCGGCCGCCGCCGCCTCCACAACCTCCGGTAGTGGTGGGTTGAATACCCACATGACAATTCAGAGTTCCCTGCAAAGGCCGAGTAATAATCTTCCTCTTCCTCCGTCCTCTGCTTCTCTCTTTCAGTCTCTGATTCATCCTCCTCCAACTCCATCCTTACTGCCTCATCCGAATCTGATGAGCCCAAGAGACTCACAGAGTAAAGATTTTGGAATCAGTAATTGTACGAGCAGCTTCTTGAGTTCGAGTCTGCAGCCTCTTGTTACTCAAAATCAGAGCTTTATTTTCCCTTTCTCGAGCTCGAGCTCATTTGAGACTAAGCCATCATGTTCTGTTTCAACCTCTCTGAGATCCTCCAATGTCTACAGTAATACTAATAACTACGGCGGAGAGTTGAAGACAATGGAGGAGCCAACCCCAAAACAGACACAGCCATGGGAGATACCTTCGACAAGCGTAGGCAATACGGAAATGTCAAGCTATTGGACTTGGGAGGACCTCGATTCCTTGGTCTCAACTGATCTCAATGTTCCCTGGGATGATTCTGATTTAAAACCCTGAGAGAGAGGAAGAAGTAACCCCAAAAAAAAAAAAATTGACACACATATATATAATATAAATATATATATACACGTTGTAGTGTTGATAGATTTTGTTTATTGGGGGTGTTTGTGTTGCTGGTTTTCAGATGGAGAGTTCTATGAAATTGCAGCATTTGGAGCTGTCCATTTTTTCAGTTTCAGCTTCATCAAGCAAAAAGGGGTTTGAGTTTTAATTCCTTGTATTGTAACCACTCTGATCATTGCCTCTTATTCTAATGAATTAATTAATTAAATTAATTAATCTCTCTCTCTCTCTCTCCCCATTTACGATCTAATATTAAAATGATGATTTTGAATGTACGCAAACGTAAGTAGCACAGGAATCTGAATTCAAAAACTCTGATCTGAGTGCTTTGTGACAGTGATGGCCATAGAAGAATGAGAGGAAAGATTCCACATGGAGAGATCAGAAGCATGAACAATAAATATTATTTTTGTGGTGGTATAAATGTTTGGATCTATATTTGTATTTATTTATTGACACGGAATATTGGTGGAGCAATACACACACACAATATGGATTTGATTGGTGATGATTCATGATCATCACCAATTGTGGAGAATCATTCTCTGAGTTGCTTGGCCTAAAACAAGTGTTATATATACGTTGATACTGATATTCTGTTGTGATGATATATCTTTTTCTGGTGTTGTTTGTGGGGTACTTTGAGTTCACATGGTGTTTTGATCCATTGTTGTGATTTATCAGAACGTTGTATGGAATGATGGGCCGCCATTTCAGCCTTCAAGTACTGTTTTGCTTGTCGTTTTCCTCCTTCATTCCAGAGCCCTGCAATGGAAGCCTCTTGTGATCCTTTTATTCGCACAATATATCATTTTATAAGTACACAATTTGAAAAATAAATTTTCTCGTTTATCACGCGGGAGATAATATCTTAAACAACAAGGTTCGGACTCACACTCTTACTATTCCAAAAAAAAAATGGTTAGGGACATGAATCTTTGTTAGCTAAAACCAACTTGCTTTGGTTTGGGTGAGAAATTTAAAATTAATTTTAACGGTTTAAAATTAAAATTTTTAACTTATAATTATATATATATATATATATACAAGTATTTTTTCAGAACAACAGTTATAAGATTATGTTTATTTTAAATTCTATATTTATTAAAAATATAAAAATAAAATTCTACCAAACCTAGATCCCTAACTTTTTAGCAGTCACCTTTTCATAAAAGTGCACGCACGAAAATTTAAGTGAAATGACTTTCTAAACTTATTAAGAGTATAATTTAATTTATTTTTTTTCAAATAGTACTTATATATTAAGAAGTTCCAACTTATGAACTCCTTATATTAGTATTGGAATTCAAACTCATTATAGGCTGAGTTGCTTTGAACCAATTTTCATATGCTCTTATATAGTTTCATATGCTCTTATATAGTTGATGGACCCCATAACATGGATGATATAGCATTAATGGTAACGAAACTTAAGGAGGGTAATTATGAGCATGGTGACATGAAAGAAGCCCAAGGTAAGGAGCAAGAAGCTCAATACTTCCAACCCAACGTATTTAAAGACCCATTAGAATATATTGAAGGTCTAATGACAAGAGCTCGAACTAAAGTCATGAAGCAAGCCTTGTTTAGTTTTGTGCAAGAAGTCCAAGAGCTTGGAGAGCATTGGGGCACTCCTCTCAAGCCTGAAGGAAAGCATCTATACGTGTATAATGTGCTTAAGATCCAAATCCATGAAGAGCCAAGCCTAAAAAATGCAAACCTTAGCCCAATACAAGGAAAACTATGAGTTGAGCCTCTTGCAAGCAAGGAGGCATGAAACCTTAGTGAAGTAGTCAAAGGTGGCGTGATTTTGAATCCTTTATGATCCCTTAATTGTCTCCTAAATTATTCTCTATTTTAATGGTCATTTAATTTGATTTCCTATTTTGAGTCTAGCAAATGTTAGAATTACTTATAGTATTAATTTCTAAATTTTGTAATCCCATAATTTTAGGATCACATCTCCTAAATTATGTGGCTGAATATTTTATCATTATTTTATATTATTTCTCCTTTTAGTATTAGAAAATTAGGGTTTTAATTTTAAAAAATATTCTTTTATATGAGTCTATATTAATTAGGCATGCTCCCTCTTGTAAACAAAAAAAGAAGTTGAATGAAATTATTCATTTTAGAGTTTATAACTCTTGTGAGCCTAAGTGCTTTGTGGTGGTATCCCGTGTGAGAAATAGACGTGATCAAGAGCATGATCAACTCTTGTGGTGTCTTTGAAGATTAAGGTTCCTAGAGGCAGGTGCTCTAGATGATCTTCTTCTTGATCATTATCCCATTATTTATTTCATATCTTTCTTTATTTTCGTCATAAATTTCATCTCTTTCTTTTTAGTTCTTGTGTTTTTTGTTATGTCAGGGTTCTGTCCCTAAACTAGCACAATTCTGCTTCCGCGTCCCCTATCAAATTGGCATCAGAGCTTTGGTTGTTAGTTTTAGTTCAAATTCTTGTCCTTTCTTCTTCTTTTTCATCATGAGTTATTTCTTTTGTGATCGTCTCTTATCTATTTCATCTACTTCTATCTTTTGGTTTTTCTCTTCTTCATCTTTGTGACTTTTTTATCTTATGTGAGTTTTTATTTTATTAGCCTTCTCAAAAAAAAGAGAAAAAAATACCTAGAAATTCGTGCAAAAAAGGCAAAAAAAAGTGTTCGTGTGTTGAAAAAAAAGAGAAAAAATATGAAAATTTAAAAAAAATTATAAAAAAAATATATTGTTGTGAGTTATGACTATAGAAAAAGGCTATTCTTGAACTCCAAGTCACCAAGAGGTTGCCTAAAGAGAAAAGTCAATTTGGGTGATAAGAAAATCTTCTACGTTGATCACTTTCTTATTTTTAATTTTTGGTAGCACTTTTCAAATTCTCTACTCTCTTATTTGTTATTTGTGCTACTCTTTTATTTTATTTAGTTTTCTATTTTTGTCTTTGAGTATTTGATTCTTTGACTTTTATTTCTTTCTTTCTTATTTTTGTTGTCACGTGTGGTTTTTCTTTTGCAAGCTTAATTTTATTTAAAAATTTTGCTTTTCTATTTGTTTCACAATTGCTAAAAAAAATTTCCTCTTTTCATCTTATGCTTGATTTCTAATTTCTTTAATTTAGAAGATATTTACTTGATTGTTTCTTAGTTTCTTGATTTGTGTTTGGTTTCACCATTGGATTCTATCCACAAGCTTAGTGAGTGGTAAAAGGCAAGTGTGTTTTTCATCATTAAAAAAAAGCCATTAATTTTTTTGTGAAATACGAGTGACTTTATTTATCTTGAGAGTAAACACGTGAGTTTGTGTGTGTGAGGATCTATTTTTTCATCTTATATGATTTCTAGTGCTTCTGTAAACATGAGTAACAAGGATGAATCCCCTAGTATTGATATAAACTTTATTTTAGAACTTATCAAAATACAGTTGTAGCAGTTTTGCTTGGAACTTGATCATAGGTTCCATAAGGAGGATAAAGATGAGCTGGAGACTTTTTCTTCTAAAGGAAAGAAGCATGAGATCCCCAGCGATGATGAGGAGTATGAAGAGCCCCCTTCTCCTAAGGGAAAGAAATCTTCAAAGTGTGATGTTGACTTACAAAACCAAAAAGTAAAGTATCCTTCATTCAAGGGTAGCAACAATCCAGAAAAATATCTTGATTGGGAAATGAAAATGGACCAAATCTTTATGAGTCTTGATTTGTCTAAGATAAGGAAGGTAAAAACTGCTTCTTTGAATTTCATTGACTATGCTATTTATTGGTGGCAAGATTTGCAGTACAAAAGAAGCTAACTTGGGAAAAAGCCCATTAAAACGTGGGAAAAGCTTAAAAGGTACTTGAGAAAGGCTTATGTCCCTAGCTACTACTACACAGAGCTGAATAAAAAATTGAGAATGTTTTCTCAAGGATCTATGACAGTGGAGGAGTATGTGCATGAGTTGAATATCTTGAAGTTTCGTGCAAACATTCAAGAAAATGAACGTGAAGCAATGTCAAGAATTATGAATGGCTTAAGGCCAGAGTTGAGAGATAAGCTTGACTTGTACACTTTTGTGGGCAAGGAAGAGCTCATACACAAGGCTATAAAGTTAGAACAGAAAAATAAGAACAAACATTCCAAGTCCTCTTCGAAAGACTCCAAGACAACTTCCAAATAGAAGGATTCCAAAGCCGAAGATACATTCCAGGCCAAGGAAGAAATAAAGACCAAGTATGAGGGTAAAACTTCTAACCATAAACCTTCATCTTATTCATATAACATTTCTCCTATTAAGTGTTTCAAATATTATGGTGTGGGCCACATGGCGAGAGATTGTAATAATAAAAGAGTTATGATCTTGAGAGATGATGATGGCTATGATAGTGTGCATGAAAGTGATAAAGATGATGCTGATAATGTTGATGATGATTCTACCTCCCATGAATCAAATGATGAGCTTGAATGTAATGGTGTAGTTGACTCTATCTTGGTGGCAAGAAGAGCTCTTAATATTCAACCAAAGGAGGATAATGATCATGAGCAATGTGAGCATATTTTTCACACTAGATGCTTCATCAAAGAAAAAGTGTGTAGCATGGTAATTGATGGTGGTAGTTGCACTAACGTAGCTAGCACTTTACTTGTAGATAAATTATCTCTACCTTTAATTCCACACCCTAAGCCCTAAAATTGCAATGGTTGAATGATTATGCTGAAATTAGAGTTTCTAAGCAAGTGTTAATTACTTTCTCTGTTGGGGTTTATACTTGTGATGTATTATGTGATGTAGCCCCTATGCTTGCTAGACACTTGTTATTTGGTAGGCCTTGGCAGTTTGATAGTAAGGCCACTCATGATGGTTTTAGAAATTGTTACAAGGTACCTTTTAAAGGCAAGACTATTGTATTAAATTCTCTTAGGCCCATCCAAACCTATGAAGATCAACTAAAGATTACTCAAGATTACAAGCAAAGGAGAGATCTCCTTGATTGTGGCATGAGTGAGAGAGAAAAGAAAGAGAGTATTACTTTACTTGAAAATTAATCAAAAGAGAGGAAAAAGAGTGGTGAGAAGGTGAGAAAAGAAAAAAATAGAATGGTGGGAGTGAAGGAAAATAGTGAAAAGAAAATATTATTGTGCGAGAAAAGTGAGATTCAAGAGGCTTTGATGAGTGAACAAGCTTTTATTATAATTTTCAAGAATATTTATTTTTCTATTGACACTCTTGACCCTATTTTGCCTTTTAGTGTTGTCTCTTTATTGCAGGATTATAGATATCTATTCCCTAATAAGATTTTTGATGGACTTTCTCCCTTAAGAGAAATTGAGTATAGGATAGATTTCTTGCCCAGAGCTGCTATTCCAAACAAGCCTGCTTATAGGGTTAACCCTGAAGAGACTAAAGAGATCCAGCGCCAAGTAGAAGAATTGATGATGAAAGGCTTTGTGCATAAGAGCCTTAGCCCTTATGCTGTCCCTGTTATCTTGGTGCCTAAAAAAGACAGATCTTGGAGGATGTGTATTGATTGTAGAGCAATCAACAAAATCACTGTAAAGTTTCGTTACTCTATCCCTAGACTTGATAATATGCTTGATGAATTGCATGGTGCTTCTATCTTCTCTAAAATTGATCTTAGAAGTGGTTATTATCAAATTCGTATGAAAGAGGGTGATAAATGGAAAACTGCCTTTAAAACTAAATTTGGAGTATATGAATGGTTAGTTATGCCTTTTAGTTTGACTAATGCTCTTAATACTTTTATGGCATTAATGAATCATGTTTTTAGAAAGTTTATAGGCAAATTTGTTGTGCTTTACTTTGATAATATTCTGATTTATAGTAAATCTTTGACTGATCATATGAATCATCTTAAAGCTAAGTTTGTGCAGGACTTACATGTTAAGATTAAAGAAAACATAGAGCGAAAGAATGAGCAATATGCCAAACAAGCTAATAAAGGCAGGAGACATGCAATCTTTGAGCCTGGAGATTGGGTTTGGTTACATTTAAGGAAAGAGAGATTTTCTAATCAAAGGAAGTTCAAATTTTAAGTTCGAGGAGATGGACCTTTTCAAGTTTTGAAAAGAATTAATGATAATGCTTACAAGATTGATTTGCCTAGCTCTTATGGCAATGTTAATGCTATATTTAATGTTTCTGATCTATCTTTATATGATTCTGCAGATTCAAGGACGAATCCTTTCCAATTGGGAGGGAATGATAGACCTCATAACACGGATGACATAGCATTAATGGCAACGAAGCTTGAGGAGGGTAATTATGAGCATGGTGACATGGAAGGAGCCTAAGGCAAGGAGCAAGGAGCCTAATACTTCCAACCTAACATACTTAAAGACTCATTAGAACATATTGGAGGTCCAATGACAAGAGCCCGAACTAAAGCCATAAAGCAAACCTTGTTTAGTCTTGGGTAAGAAGTCTAAGAGCTTGGAGAGCATTAGGGCACTCCTCTCAAGCCCAAAGGAGAGCATCTATACGTGTATAATGTGCTTAAGATCCAAATTCATGAAGAGCCAAGCCCAAGAGATGCAAACCTTAGCCCAATGCAAGGAAGACTATAAGTTAAGCCTTTTGCAAGCAAGGAGGCATGAAACCCTAGTGAAACAGTCAAGGGTGGCATGATTTTAAATCCTTCATGATCCCTTGATTGTCTCCTAAATTATTTCCTATTTTAATAATCCTTTGATTTGATTTCCTATTTTGAGTCTAATCAAATGTTAGAATTAATTATAGTATTAATTTTTAAATTTTGTAATCCCATAATTTTAAGATCACATTTCCTAAATTATGTGGCTGAATATTTTATCATTATTTTATATTATTTCTCCTTTTAGTATTAAGAAATTAGGGTTTTAATTTTAGAAAATATTCTTTTCTATGAGCCTATATAAATTAGACATGCTCCCTCTTGTAAACAAAAATAGAAGTTGAATGAAATTATTCATTTTAGAGTTTATAACTCTTGTGAGCCTTAGTGCTTTGTGCTGGCATCTCTTATGAGAAAAACAGACGTGATCAAGAATATGATCAACTCTTATGGTGTCTTCGAAGGTTGAGGTTCCTAGAGGCAGGTGCTTTAGAAGATCTTCTCTTTGATTATTATCCCATTATTTATTTCATATTTTTCTTTATTTTCATCATAAATTTTGTCTCTTTCTTTTTTGTTCTTGTGTTTTTGTTATGTCAGGGTTCTGTCTCTAAACTAGCATGATTATGCTTCTGCGTCCCCTATCAATAGTATTTTATTTTATATATTGATTGATGATGCTAGTTTTAAGGCACAAATATCTTAAAGTCTTATAATTTATACTCCTTCATCCAAAAATATAAAGCATTTTTTAAAAGGCTAGATATTCAAAAATGTAAAACATTTTTAGTCTTTTAGAGTGTAATTATTGCCTTTTTCAAAAAAAAAAAACCTCTATTGATTAAATCACTTTATATTTATTTTAGGGTAAAAACTCTATTAAATAGAGGTAAATATGAAAAGATATGGTTATTTTGAAAACAAGTAACTACTTTATCAGAGGGTGAAATTTGATTAAAAATGCCTTACATTTTTTAACGGAGGGAGTATCATTTATAATTATAATTACTCCTCCGTCTCAAATTATAAAATATTTTTAGATAAAATCTCACATACCAATAAACCTTATTAAATACATTTAACAACCTTATTTTTCAAAATAAAAATATAAAATTTTTAAAAATATCATTCATTTAATAATCTTAAATCCATACTTAATTAATACTCCCTTTGTTAAATAGAAAGGGAGGGAGGGTAGTATTGAAATAAGCTTATTTAATGAAATTTTAATTTTCTCAAAGTGCCTTATATTTTAGAACGATAAATTCCCTTCAAAAGCATCTTATAATTTGGGATGGAGGGAATAACATTTCAGAAATTAATTTTTAAGTAACATAGAAGTAAATTACTAACATGTATATATTTGTAAAAAATAATTATGTATTTTTTTTTATAATATGATACTTTTTATTGAAGGTGAGGGTGTTTAAGTGATAAAATTTTAAAATATTATTGTCATGCCAAAAAAATTTATAGAACATAACTGTAAATGGTGGTTTATGAAGCATTAATTATGACTTATTTCTAGAATATTAAAGAAGAGTTTTAAATTTTGAGATCTTTAATATATTATTGACGTAAATAAGGTAGATTAATCTGGCTACCTCATGAGTTGAAAGAGCAAATGACCTAACTGCCAGTTTCTGGAGCATTACAGATAATGTATGGTTTGAAATTCGAAATTATTTATCAGTGACAATTTAAAAAATGCATAAGTATTTTATGTATAATCTTCAAGAATATATGGGAATTGTAATTTCATGCATGATTTGTTTTTAACGATGGTTAACTGAGATAATGACATTAGTTGATTCACGTTAAGGGAACATAAAAGCTTTAATTGACATTTGACTAATTGCATAATTTCAAATAAGCTCACTCAAAACTATGAGAACACATGAACGAAGGATTATTCCGCAATTCTAAGAAGTTTTGGTGTTCCAGATTATAATTTCTGAATTAAAAAATAAATATATATAACTTTATAAAAATTAAATCAGGTATATAATATTATGCACAAAATAGAGGGGGGGATCTCTTCATTCTTTCCATAAAAATATTATAGGGAAAATGACAATAAAATCATTTTGAGTTATGTAAATAACATTTTGATCTCTTAAAATGTCATAATTTTCACGAAGTTTCTAAATTTTTTTCTGTCATTAAGAAATTAATATAAATAATTAAATTAACTTTAATTCAAATTTACAAATTATTATTGAATTCTTACGATTTAAAAAAAAAAAGCTATGAATTTTAAAATAAAACTTATTAATGACAATTGATATTTGCAACATTTGAGAAATATTAAGATTTCAATTATGAACTTACAGATTGTTGTTAAATTCTTGCGATTTAAAAAAAATTGTTCGATGACATAAAAGTCTTTAAAAGACTTCAGAAGAATTATAACATTTTAAGGGATTAATTTATAATTTATATAATTCAAAGGGATTTTGTTATCATTTTTCCTATATTATATTCAAAATTTTTAATCCTATCATGTTCCTTTTTTATGTTGGTGGGATTGAATGTATTCCCCTCATATTTCCATAGAAATTCGATCGTGCCTGCGTTCTCTATTTTTTGACAATCAATTTTTTTTTTTTTTTGGTTTCATTGATTCTATAAATTCATTCTCAGATGCTCCTGATGGTAAGACATTTCATGTTTTGCATATCCTTTTAATTAAATATACATATCTATGATAAATTGCGAGTAAGGTGTGTTGGTAACTCTCAACCACACTTTCCTATCTAAATGTGTGTTCTTTCGCACGTAACATTGCAGTCTCATCACACACACACACACCACACTTTAAAAGAGGCAAAGAGATGAAATCTACTTTTCTATTTTTGTAAATCTCACGCACGATCAATAAGTTTCACTTCTTACAAAACATTAGGTTCAATTGATAAGTGAGTTGTACTAATTTAACTAAAAATTTTAAGTTCACATCTTAAAAGTACAATAGTATTACTAATAGAGTTTCCGCTCGAAAAAACCCTATCCCACTTTAAGTTAGATTAGTCTATACTTCTATTAAGTTCCATAAGCTTAATGTGAGGCAAATCGAGAATACCATATGCTTCATGCAAAATAAGATAATAAATAAATTTTACTTCTCTTTTTCTAAATTTTGTTTTCTTCTTTAGGCTGTGAGGTTATTCCAAGTGACGTTAACACCCACTTCTACCTCTGACACATACCATTGGCGGCAACGAAAATGAGATTAAGAGGAAATTCATAGGTGTGAAATTGTCAAACAGAAAAGGAAAGGTCCGTTTTGAAATTGTGGCTCTGCTTTGCTTGCTAACAATTGGACCACCCCAAGAGCCGAATCAAACCAAGGCCGCTGTATATTCTTGTCATCACCCTACCGCCCAATATTTTCAGCACACCAAGCGAATCTTTAAAGAAAACGACAAGAGACTTCAAAAAGTTAAAAACTAAAGATTCCCTTAAAAACAACAGTCTACTCTGAAATTAATAACAGTTACAGAACAAAAATGACAATTCATTTTTAAGGTCTTTAGTGTCATTGGTTAATGTAAGAATTACATCATTTCCCCCTTACTAATGCTTCTGCTTGCATGATTAACAGAACAAGATTTGTAAGTAAAAACAAACCATTAAACCAATGAAAACCTTTACAACCAAGTAATATCCATGACTTGAGGTAAACATTAGCTTTTCGCTTCCAGAGTAGACAACTTTAATAAAATCACACAAGCCTTATCCCACTTCTAATGGTTCAAAGCTACTACATATTAGCCATGGTCACACCAGAGTCCCTAGCATGTGAAGGTGGACCAGAGTTAGCCTTTGAATAATTAACATAATAGAGTTCAGAAACTATGCCAGTGAACACAATGAAGGCAGCTCCAGCTCCAAACACTCCCTTCCTCAATGTCACACATGAAGGGATGACTGGTACTGTGGTCCTGTCCTTGGTGTGGCGGGTGTTTCTTGCCGAACCAGCCAGCAAGCATGACGCGGCAATAATGAATGTCACCCTGAATCATCGATGTCAGCAAAACAACTTGGGGAATCAGAGGTCAGATTTGAATTCATTCAATAAATGAATAACATTATCAACATGGCATGTAAATCTGTCATTCTTTGAAATCAATAAGTTTGAACAAATCGATCAACTCTATTTATCTGATTTAAGCAACATACATACCAGCTGGTGATGAATAAGCAAATTGCCCATGATCTGTTGCCGCTAGGTCTCATGGCTTGACCACAGCACAGGCATCTTGTGACCACCATTATAATTGCTTGACTGGCTAGTAGAATTATAAAGGATCCCACGCCTAGGCCAGTTGCAATATTAGAACCATAATGACAGTAGTTTTGATTCCCCTCTGTAACTACCATGAACTGCCAGAAGGAGGAATGGATTCCAATAAGTAAACACATTCATATTATTAAATAAACATGAGAGAAATTTAGTCCAAAGAAGTAAGTGGAAGTTGAAAAATGATGCTTAAGGTAGCAACTATAATTAAAGTACCCTCCCCACACCCCATCGCTTTTACCAAAAACATGAATGTAGATATTACTAGGAAAGATAAATAATAAAGTTTGACTAGGCGTCTGCTATACAGTTGTAAATCGGACTAATAAAGTCTCTGACATCAAAGCTGAGCATCTGATTGTTAAAATCATTGTCATTTCATGGTTTTAGGCTTCATCTCAAAATTAACCCTTTATTGGCGAATTCATGATCGCACTTGTCATGTGCGTGAGGTAAGCAATCCTGCTACAGGTTCTCCTCATTGTATAAATCTTCTTCCATCCCTGGTTGTCCTACTACATTGCTCCAACCCAAAGCATCCCTCTGCTATGAGCCTATCTTCACGTTAGAAGCAATTGCGAACCCATTTTTAGTCATGATTTGGGCATTTCGAGTAAAAGATAGATATGTTTCAATGCAACAGTCAGAAATTTCGTATGTTTCTCTATACAGCAGTCTTCACATTTATGATATGACTATTATGAGGTTTTGTCTGTTAAGGCACCTGTTGATTCTTTCCAGGATCACCTCTAAGAGTTGCTCGAACCATTGCTGGTTGGGATTTGTAGATCTATGCTCATTGTTATCCTTTCCCATGAATGCTAAGCCCTTGAGTGATTGCTGGGGATTTTTTTACTTATTCTGAAATAGCTTCTTTTAAAGGATTTTACTTAAACACATTGCTAAGGTCTCTAATCTATAGCTATATATAATATAAAATTGGTCGAAAGCTGTATGATTGATAAAGTTATGAATAATGACTTCCTCTTGTTGCAGTACCACAGTATTTGACAAATATTTTTTCTTAAAAAAATACTTTATGTGATCAAATTATTAAAAAGACATGTATTTAAGAGGTGGCTAAAATGTTAGTTGCTTTTTATGGTAATTACTGATTCTGCATGGATATACAATTGTCTCCCAGAAAAAGTTTTCTTCTTCTATTTCAAAGTAGAAGTTTCAAGTTTGTTAAATCGTAGTTGCAACAAAAAACTGTTGCTGTTACCACTGATTTCCCCCTAACAGTTAGGCCTGACACCACCTTTAACCACGATGACTTTTTTTAAAAAAATGTATAGCTTCTCCTTCAAAAACATCTTCAAAAAGAGGGCCAAACAGGCTATTACATCTGACTTCTTCAATCCCCTCTTCCTAATTGGTGAATCTGGCACAACACAATAGGGATGACAATGGATTGGGACAAGGAAGGTTTTTCAGTAGCATTCATTCTTTTCTTTTATTTTTTTTAACTTTTTTTTGTTCCAAAATTCCCTTTTTTTTTTTTTGGGTGTTGTATCCAAACTTGCAACTATTGTTTTCTCTACTAAATTATCTTTTTTGTCAATTAATTTGTCCATAAATATTGAATTACAAAATTCATAACATTTCAATTCTTTAGTTTTCAAACAAACACTTCAAATCTCAAGTTCACAGCTTATTACTGGTTCATTTTATGGATTTATATTGTACCAACATGGAACAGGTTGTTTGAGGTGGGGCACAGATTGGGATTATCATGCTTGATTGTTTCCCTAAACCCAATCCATATTTTTTCTAAAACGCATCCTAAATTTCAGTCAAGTGATGACTAACTCAATCTAAACAAAAAGGAAAAGGAAGTCAAATGCTAATACGTCAGATCTACATTACAATCTATATGGCAGAATTTAATGTTAGAACAGAATTTATTCTCCAGCAGAATCCTGACTCAGCGATTTTGTGGCGGCTGCAAGTTTTGAGCTTAGCAAAATAAGATAAAATCTCAATTGTCCTTGGCAAATGACAGTGTTCTCTCAAAAGTCAAGCCAAGTTTTCCTCTAAAACTGACTAACTTCCGTTACTAAACAATAACTCCTACACCCTTTGAGTTTCTAAAATCTGAACATTTGAATTATTAGTAATCAAATATTTGCGTGTCTTCCTCAACCACCTTACTCTACTCACTCATTTACTTATGCATAGTGATTCCTGGTTGAATATAACATAATATCATCCATCCAGCTTGTTTCGTGAAAGTAGTTATTGAGACACTGACAGTAAATCAGCTTACAGAAAGAGGAGAGTTTCATAATTGCTCTAGTATCCATATCCCATCCGAATTCTATGAGATGTCAAGAAAAGCTCAGAATAGGAACAGACTCAACTATTATGCACTAAACAAGAAGATAAAAGTCTCCAAGAATTTCTCACCCAGTATCAGAATATGGAAATCAAAACCCCCAAATCCCAGATTTCTCAATCAAGCATCTTGAATCGCAAAAGGAATCCCACAGTCAAATCAACTAAATCCCAGAAGAAGAAGAAGAAAATGGAGGAAAACAGAAGCAATTAACAAGCACCAATCGATTGAAGAAGAAGTAAGAAAGAGAGGGAAATCTAGAAGACGGACTCACAGTACTCCTCTTCTGCTCAGCAGCAACGGCCAGAGCAAAAGCAACCAGGTCAAGCACGAACACCACAGCCAATAACAGCGTCGAAGCCATTGCTCAGAAACCCACTAGTCAAAATCGAGTCTGAGCCGCACCACAGAGACGAGGGCGAGGTCAAAACAGATAACCCACAGGGATGGAGGCAGTAATTTTTTTATGTAAAGCCCAGAGAAAGTCTACTTCGTAGATGCCGCCTCTACTTCAAAGTTCAAACCAAGGTGATTTGAATAATAAACAAGTAAATGACTAAATAATTAAATAGCAACAGAACCATTAGCAGACATAGAAATGTCCGAGGGACGTCTCTTTCAGGTCAGATCAGAGTAATTTGCCTTGGAGGGGAAGAAATCATGTATCTCACACTCTTGAACGAAAGGAATTCTGCGTCACTTTTTTTCTTTTCTTTTTACGGAGATTCAAATTTATTCTGGTGAAAGATGAAAAGAGATAAAGTAACCCAATCAATCTGTTTGTAATGCTTTTGCTGACACATTGTTTACCAAAAAAAAAAATTACTATGGTGATCATAAGAATCCTATGAAGCTTTGCTTGTGTCCATAGGTTTCGTTAAGAACTTCGATCGGAACTGGTTTCTCTTTAATTCTTCCATATACAGGACAATAACTGAAAATCTAAAATTCATCCAGTGAGAATGCGACTCAAAATCCACAATAATATGGCTCGAATCTAGTTGCCACTATGATAAACTTCTGATGGACATTGGGCAATCTTTATGAACAGGAATCACGTGAGCTATGAGTCTTTGAGGGAGAAAATGGGGGCTCACGAGCCATTGCCTTCAGCACGTGAAAGATCGCTACTATATTAAAAGCTTTTGAGAAAATTAATAGACCTTTTTTACTTTTTTTTTTTTTTCCCCTTGCGGTTCACTTTTGTCACCTTCCAAAATACCGTGCATGAACGGCATGAAATATAAAATTAACCTTTTTTTTCCAGGCATAATCAATATATATGCTTCTAATTATAATTAAAAAAAATTATACATTTCAGTAGTATAAAATCAAATGATATAATAATATTCATGATTTTATGTAGAGATTTTCAATAAATCTAAACAAAAAATAAAACGATTAAACAGACAATTCAAAAAGAATATGAGAATTACTTCCTCAATCTATAAGTAATAAAAATAAAATGGTGTATATCTTGTTGGTTGGAACAACTATCAAATGCCACAAGATAATAATTCAAATTTAACATAAATTCAACTTTACAATTATTCAACAAAGAAACCCGTTTTGTAATGCAGATGAAGGTGGTGATAGTTTTTATTGTTTAAAATACAAACAATTCAATAAGTACATAATATCAAGGTTAATTATTAAAATATTTAAACCATCAATAATAAATAAATAGCAAATCTAGTTTAATTTTCTTAAGGTGAGAACCATACCTTAATAATTTAAATTATCTAAAAACACTTTAAATATATAAACATGGACAAGGATAAATGTTCACTCATACAATACTCAAAATATAAAATGAGGATAAGTGTATGAAACATAATTTCAAACTCATTATAGTGACAAAATAGACTTTGCAATAGTGAGTTGGGATCAATTTATCCAAAAATTTTATTATAAGAATTTCTTTTTTAAAAAATAAGAGAAGAAAAATATTTTTCTCGAAAACAAGTTCCCCTAAAGGAATCCACATGGCACGGGATTTTTAGTCATGGGCACACAGTCTATGTGGGTAAATCATCAAACAAAGGCAACTCGAAGGCCATGAATAACAAACATAGCTCGAAGGCTATGAATAACATATATATTGTGTTTGAACCCTCTAAAAGGATTCCCATATATATCAGAAACCAATCCTTTCATGTATGGATTTTTAAAAAAGAAGAGAAAAGAATCTAAACAATATCCATAAGCCACTTTCCCCAAACTTTCTTCCAAAGATTCTTACACACTTATAAAACTCTCTTTCATAAATAAAAAGGATTTTTATCATTATAAAAAGACTTGTGCAAAATCTCAATTTCAAAACTTAATTTGCCACTTAACCCACACAACAACCATTGCATTCAGTTCAAAGATACTTGTATAATAAACTTCCCAATAGACTGATATTTCTCATAATACCACAATATGAATTAACATTTAGATATGCTAGAAGCCAAGAGATTACCATCTTTCTGCTAAAGGGCAAATCAACAACTTGGAAACAACATAGTTATGTTACAACATCTTCATCAGCAATAATCCATTGATTATACTGAAATTATTGATATAAAAAAATGTGCCGCAACCCAACACACACACTCACCTAATGATACCAAGGTATAAGGGAAGGAAAAAAACAATCATAACTTGTAATATCCTAGTGAAATTTGACCCTAATTAACTAAGCTTAATTATGATAATTAAGTAGTTTGATGTGGTATGTGGTCAAAGAGGTCTAATAAGTGTATTTAGTTGTGATTTCAGCCCTAAATGCAAGTTCAAAGTAAAGTTAGGCTACTCAGGCATTGAAAGGGTAAAAAAACCTTAAGAGATTGTCTATGTGTCATATGTTATGACGTGCAGCACGTTAGCTACTGCGCACAAATGACAAAGTGACAGGAGGACCTCTCTGTGTCATGTGCCACGATGTATGCTGTTTGTACTATGGCAAATGGCTAAAATCGTTAATAAATTACCTTGCAAACAAACAGAAAATTAGAAGGAGAAAAGAGAGAAAATGAAGAGCAAGTCATAATCCTCTGTTAGGGTTTGCTATATGGTGGTTTGAGAGTATTTGGTGCTAGAAAACACCTAAGGTAAGTGTCATACACTCCTTTCCTCCCTTTCTCTTCCATTTTCTTAAAGTTTTGAGTGAGGGTTTAAATAGGGATGATGAGTTTTGGTCCATATAAGTTATGAGTCCAAACCTATTAACTCAAATGGAATGAATGGGAGTTGTTTGAGTATGTTAATATAGTATTAATGTTTTTAAATGTTGTTGGTTGGTGAATGCCATAGATATCTAAAAATGGCATTAATGAAGGTTGTTTGAAGAGTTGAAATGCCACTAATAGAGGTTCAATGACTCATTAATGACAAGGTAAGCTAAAGGGACTTGGTAGACCCAATTGGTAAGTCTAAATGTGAGAAGTAAAGGCATTGCATGTGGTAAAATTGAAAATGTGAGAATTGAAAATGTGTTTTTGACCATGTTGATGAGTTTAGACTTGATTAATTATCGATTAATCATTTAGGTACCATATTTTGCTTGGGAAGCAAACTTAGAAGATAGTTATTAAGGGGTAAACCTTTGATCTTTCAAAGGTTTGAGGTAACTGGAAGAACCCTATTTTACGTAGTTGTTTATTAATTGCATTGTAAAGTGAAACGTGTTTATTTATATGTATATTTCTGATTGTGAATATGTAAGCATGTTATGAAATTGAGAATTTAAATAGATGATGATTATGAAAATCATAATGATGCTCACTTAGGTAACGTATTATCATAAGCCCAATGTGTTAATATAGAAATAATGAAATTATGAAATGAGTATGCATCCACATTACATGATCAATTGACGGGAGTTCACCTAAGGAGAAGGGTAGATAAAATTTATATGGTATTTATGGCTGTCCTTTGGTGCACAAAGGTTACGTCTTATCCTACTGTTTGTCGAGAGACTATCCTAGAGTTTGTTAAAGGACTAGAATCTAGCTATATCTACCAGTTTGTTGAGAAGGTTACTTAGGATATACAACACCCTAAAGATTTGAGAGTAGCAGAAGCCATGGTCAAGGAGTGAGTGTTGTGATCTTTGGCCGGTCATACCTCACAATTAATGAGTTTAGGTAGTCCAATCATATAGACAAAGCCTTATTTGATATTATAGCCCATGATTTTAGTCGAAAGATATAAGGAAGATATAAGGATGGTTTGGTCATGCATATATGTATATCCAACGTGTTGCATAGTCGTTAAGTTTGTGGCACATTGTGATAAAGATTGTGCCATTATAGTGGCAATATGCATTGAAATGATAAGTTGAGTCATTGTCACATATATGAGTGTCTTGTGGCAATATACTCTGTGATTGAGATGAGGAATATCAATATTTTATCGAATTGTGAAAATATAACTTGCATCATATGCAATTGATTTCTTTGAATAATCAACTCACTGTTATGTGTGTTTATTTCAATTGATATACAACTATATAGGGTAGGAGTACCTTGGTTACTAAGTGACTAGACTCACCCTTTTAGTTTTTAGGCTTTAGCTTTAATGTGGAAAGGAAAAAGCTTCTAGAGACTTAGGTTCCTATTATATAGCCTCTTTTTATTTATTTATTTTGTGCAATAAATAAGTATATTGCCAATTATAATGCATTTTATTTACACTTGCACTATATTGTTATTTATGATGCATGGAATGCATTTTGGGCTTTGGAATATTGTTTGTAATAAATTATAAATATTGATAGGGTCAAAATACTAGTGTAAGTGTAGTTAGGTTGATTTAATCATGATATAGAATATTTTATTGTGAAATGTAATGTTAATGCCTCCCCATCCTATTTTTGGTATTAAGTGGTTGAGAAGTAAAAATTTGTTATGAGTGGTGTGTTATACAGGTAGTCCTAGATCCATGAAGTATGGTTTAGGTGTTAGGAATGATTTTTAGCAATTGTGTGAGGTTTTAGACACCTTTGAATTGTGAAAAGTGTGAAAATATGTGAAAATATTTTCACATTTAATTTGAAAGTAAATTTGTGCCATTAACTAGTTTATAAAAAAAGCTTCCCATAAGCACTTAAAACATCTCATTTGGATGTCGTACGAAGAAATAAGACACATCAAAAATTTTTCAAATTTGTTGTCAAATGATAGCAGAAATGCTGTCTGATAATGTGCAACATGCCGCGGCACATGGCACAAAGAAAGAGCCACTGTGGTGTATGTACACATTGTAATATCTCTCACTACAAAACAAAATTAACCAATCAAATCTATGGTAATCAAATGATTAATTCATTTAAGAGATTACTAGGCTTTCATTTCAAAATCAAGGGATCCCAAGTTTTCATAATCAAATTAAGTTTAAACCATTTATAAACTCCTGTATCAGAGCAAAAACA